TATAACGCGGGAAACTATCGTCTATGATTTTTTTCTCCTCACCTTTTCTCGACTGCAATTCGCTCTTCTTCCCTTCCAATCTGGCCGCGCCGCCAGGCGGCGTTCCTCTGACGAGGCTGATCGTATTTGTATCGAATAAATTACCGAGTTTCCTGATAATCGCTTTATTTATCGATGTACGCGCGCGCGCCGCGAAACGAACGGCGCGCTCCGTTCGACAGCTGAATTCGAGCCTCGCGATAAAACACCGCGCGTGAGCCAAACGAAATATTATCGAGCATCGACCATAAGAATTATTCGCGCGAAAAATCTCGTAAAATACGCGCGCGCGTGACCGCTTAAAATTTGTCGGCCGACCCGGCCCCCCGTTGCGTCCGCCGTCAATTAAAATCGCATTTAAAGCAAAAATTAAATCGCATCGACTTAGCTCGATGGCGATTTAATTTTTACATGAAATTTTTCACAAATTTACGTCAAAGGTTTAATCGGATATACTTAACCCGACAGAGAGCCACGCGTGACGAGGACTTGCCGGGCGAGCCGGTGGCGCGCTTGAATCGCTCGCTGAAACGCGAAGAGCCCGCGGCAGCAGCGAGTGGATCTCACGCTCGACAAATTCAAGAGCCGAAAGTTCGTTACAGCGTCTTATAGATTGCAGCCGATCTCTCTCGCTTTCGGCTCGAGATGGCGGAAAACTCGCGCGGCCGCCCGAGAAAGAGAGTGGGAACCGCAGGGGCAGGGGCGGGAGGAGGAGGGTGGATCTGGAATTAGGTGGGCCGCGAATTTCCGCTGCAAAGTGAATTACACCCCGGTGGGAGTGGCGATCCTCGCGCGATTCTTTAACGGAATCGCACTCGATCGCGTTGGCGTCGCGCGACGACGTTCCGCGGTGGTTCAACGTCGTTGCTGAACTGTATATGCAACGCGGACGGAGGCGCACGTGGTGAGATCGCGATTTCGTTAACCGAGCGATTTGCATTCGCGCCGCAGCTTGGCTCGGCCACGCCGACGTCGGCGCAAAAATCGCGCGGCCACGGGCCGCGAATTCGCGAGATGCGCTCGCGGTTATTTCTGGCTGCGCTAATAGACGCGGCTTAATGGAAGTTACGGGGTCGGATATAAACCGCAGCCCGGGCACTTTCGGTCGTCACCCCGGCGGCGGCGGCGGCGGCGTCTCCCGCCGCGTCTCGTCGTCGCTCTGCGTTTCCAGGCGGGCGGCGTGTCTGTGAACGATAGCGGAAGTTGCGCGGCCCCCGTATTTGCGAAGCCCGTTTTGTGCGAGTGACTACAGCGACGTCGCTTCAGACGAGATCGCTCGCGGTAAACCTCTCCGCCTCGGAACAAGCAGCAGCCCAGGCTGATCCGGTGTATCGGCCGAACTTCGATGTCAATCGATTTAATTCGTCAATCGAAATTAACCGTCTCTGACTCGCGGCGAGATCTCGCGGATGTCGGCTGGATTATTCAGCGCAGCTTCCGGCCCAACCGATTCCCGATCTCCGATCGCGCGACTCCGATCTCAACGGCGGATGCGAGCTGCAATAACAAGCGGATTTGCGCTATATATTGCTATCCCGAGATTGTTGCGCGGCAACAATCTCTCGCGCGAGAGCACCCGCTGCAAATCGGCAGCGACCGGCGTGGCGTAATAACGCGCTGTGTTTCACGTAACACACGTGTTTTTCCACGGCGCAAGGCGACGCTCGTAAATATCCGCGCCAACATCAGGAGAGAATCTTTCACTCAGGAGAAACGGCATTTCCCTCGCACAGCGGCCATCGCAAAAAGGGCCGCCGTATCCCGCGCTGTTACCGTAAGTGCTAAACACGGAAACGAGCGCGTGCGCGCGCGCGTAGCGTTTTAGTCGCGCGAGGTCCATTTTCCGCGAGCAAATGATCTCGTTCGTTCGAAAGTCTAACGACTCGCCGAGAGCAAGTTTTCGCATCCGCGCACCTGTGTCGCACCGAAAGGGTCGCCTCCGTCTGACCGGAGTAGAGGCGGTCGCGCGATATATCTCGCGACGCGAGGGCGGGAAAGAGAGGGAGGGAGAGAGAGAGAGAGAGAGAGAGAGAAAGGCCAGGAGCATCGATCTCGAGGAACCGACTGCGACACGAGTTCCAATTACCGCCGCGTGGAATTGCCCTTGTTTCATCGGGCCGGGAATCTTCCCTGTGGCGCGCCGACTGGAGGCCGAGGCCGCGATATTGATATTCCGTCGGAAACGCTTGATACGCGCGTCCCGATAATCTTCGGAAATGTTCCAATACTGTCGGGCTTTCCACCGCGGTGCAGGATATACGTCCGCGATTTGTAACGATTAATCTGACCCAGACAGCAAAAGAGAGGCGGACAGAGATAGATATATTGATGGCTAAATACGTTTATTACCACCCCAGGATCAGAGCGCGTGGCAAGCGAGAGAATTGCAGATTACCGAATACAAAAATATTTTGAAAGAAGAGGAGACAGAAACAGAGAGAGTGGAACAGAGCAAGGAGAGAGGGAGGATGTTTTAACATTTCTTTTTTTTTTATTTTTCATAAATATGCAACTTCTCGTGTATATCTGAGTCGCCCAATTTATTTAAGAACGTTGAAAAATATCAGGGGAAGAGGAGGGAGCTAGTTGATACTACGTAAACAACCGCGTCGAATTTCCGAATCGAGCTTGCGCGGCGATTCGACTCCGCGCCGAAGGGGCGGCCGAAACTTTTCGAAAAATTCCCGCTCGCGCGCGATATTAATCGCGACGTGGCGCTCGCAATTTCCTCCCCGTCGCTCCGCGCGGCCGATGAAAATTATCCGCTCCTCTCTCGAATTCCCCCGTCACGCGTCGTCCTCCTCGCGCCATTCATTGAAACTTTAAACAGCGTGTTCGCGGGCAGCGCGTTTTGTTCTACGCGAACGTCTACGGGAACGAATAAGCTCGCACACGAATTCACGAGCGATTCAGGACTGCGATTAAGGGCCGCTCCGAAGGGAGCCGCGAGGGGCTGGCGGACCGCTCGTTTGTCTTAATAAAGTGCGTCGAAGCCACGCTCTCCACGGTGGTTGACTTATGGCCAGTCATCTGGTGGGGCGGCTCTCCTCGTGGGGAAACCCAGGTCCTTTTTTTCCCCCTTCATCCGGCCGAAAAGGTAGTCCCGCGTTTGCTCTGCCCAATATTCACCCCTGCCGCGCCTCTTACCGCCCCCCGCGATCGTTAACCCTGTCGCCGGGAGTCCATCAATCGAAGGGAGAATGTCGGTTAATGATGGCGATCGTTCGTCATCGGGTGGATACTCACACCCTCTCCACCCTTTAGCCCTCCCACCTATCAATAGCCTGTCGAATTCGAGTCTGTAATAGAACCAAGAATTTTAATAAGGACACGTTGCGACACGAGACGGGTTGTCATTATGCTCTCTCTTAAGAATGAGAGAGAGAGAGAGAGAGCGGGGGGGGGGGGAATTTTTATGCGACAGCATTTATCTTCCGGGCAAATTCCGTTCGCGAAGTAAAATTGCGATCTCTCGGCGACATTAAATTATTACTTTCGCGACGTCATATTAAGGAGATATTCGTCTAATTCGAGATACCTGCCTCGCGCGTAAATAGCAGCGAGGAATTAGACCTCGTTCTCGATCTCAATTGGAACAGGCGATTTTTCCGGGACCGGAAATAACGCGGCGCGCGATAAGCGTCGCGAAGCCGCGCGTCGATGCAAACTCGATCCGCCCGCGCGCTGATGGTTTATCATTTATTTGTGTACGAGTCGTAACGAGCGGGAGGAAGAGAGAGAGAGAGAGAAAGAGAGAGAGAGAGAGAGAGAGAGAGAGAGAGAGAGAGAGAGAGAAAAGTGGGTCCGCCTGTTGGCTGTGTAAACAGTGAATTACCGGCGGCGAGCGGGTGGAACTCGGTCGAGCTCTCCGGCGAGCGATGTGTTTAACCGCGCCGATGACGATCTCTTTCGAGAAAAGGTGTTGCACGCGCTCTTTCGCCCGCTCGATGCTACGATCGATAGTGGAGAGAGTGGCTCGCGTTTCAATTTGCGCGTGGAAGAACCAGTCCACGTCGTACAATAGTAGACGTATTCGTGATAGATGATGCTTTTCACAATTTATCAAACGCGGACACATCTGATATTACACACACACACACACACACACACACACACATACACACACACACATACACACACACACACACACACACACACACACACACACACACACACACATACATCTGATATACAATCGCATTACACGGCGCTAATTAGAAAAGTTTTGCCCGTCATAGTCGGAGGCACCATTATTCTTATTAATAATAAGAGTATCGTTAATGTTATGTTTGTTATTTTTAAGCTCATTCTTGCGGGCGATGTTAAAGTTAGCCGAGCGCCGCTCGATCTCGGAGATCGACCGACGTATTCGGTCACGCAATTGTATCGTTTGCTCATCCGGAAGATGCGGAAGTTTCTTTAACCGACTCTACATTTACGTACACAATTTTAGACATCCTTTTTTATAATTTATAAATGATACGATAAACATGGAGAGATTGAGTACCACGGCGAAACTAGATAAATCTGCCGTCGCCCAGATAAAAAACTAATTCGCATAATGGTATGAACGCGTTGCGGAAATAAACCACACATTAAACTGCGTACCGCGTCGAATCGCGTTGTCCGGAAAAATCCAAGTCTCGGAATTCAGAAAGCAGAAGAGCTAGCGGTTTGCTGGAAAACCGTAATACTGGAATCCGAAAATCGGTACAATGTTTTGAAATAAACACACTTTCCGTTAAAGTGAAAAATGAGATGAGAGAGAGAGAGAGAAAGAGAGAGAGAGAGAGAGAGAGAGACAGAGACCGGCGGTCTGTCCGTATTGAAACGCGTGTCGAATATGTATGTTTTATTAGATGCGAAAGTAATCCGCGGCCGAGAGCTGTCGCCCGCCTCGACATAATATTTATAAACGACTGGGTCAGCAATGTTTATTCAGCGAGTCGTTTGTTTCGCAGAGCCGGTGCTGCCGTCCTCCACGTCGAATATCGACAGGCTCCAGCAGCCGGTCAAACTGGTCCTGTCCAGCACGTGTCATCACGCTTACACATCCTGCAAGTAAGTCCTGTAAATTCCCGTCGTCCGTCCGCTAATCGAGCGATCATTCCGCACGAGACCCCGGAAAAATTACGAGGCACGATTTGTCCTTTGCGCAGGAGCGATCCGGAATGCAAGAACCTGCTGCAGCCCGTGCTGAACCATTGCGACTCGGCGACGTGCGCGAGGAACGAATGCATGGAAGCGTTGCAGCACTTCTACAGGACCGCCCATCACAAGCACTCCGTGGAGATCGCGTTCTGCCTGTGCAGGTTGGTCCAATTCGTCGGCGTTCCCTCCGCGAATTTCGTGCCGAATTCACCTGCCTAATCCCGCGGTTATCTTCGCGTCGCGTACTCTTGTAACGAAGCAAACTTGTCGCCGGCTAATTTCCTCAACGAGACCAGCTTACTCGCGCGAAACACTTGCCTGCGAAACGATAATTTTACACGGTACGGCTCGCAGTATTATTACAACATTTCGCGGGTCCCACGCGTTTGTTTCCTTCTTTTCGCTTCTTTTCTCTTGCAACATTTGTGCTGCCGCGAGCAGCAATCCGTGCGGCGCCTTCCTGCGGAAAATGCGCGCGGTCAGCTGCGCGTTTTTCACAAATATTCGCTCATAAACGAATATTTTTCCTCCCCGGCGGACATGTTTGTGTATCGACACAATGATACAGGGGGTGACTAGTCTCTTCCATCGGCGTTGAATGTTTAATTGGCCGTTTATTGTCGCGAGAAAGTCATATTAAAATATTAACGCACGGCGCCGCGCGCGGACGGGCGGCTACGTCGCGACACAATGCGCACTGCAACATGAATTAATTATGGATTATTGTAACGGAACGGCGCACCTGTGCGCGCGCAGAACGGCGGATCAACCGTCGGCGTCGTCGTAAATTAATTGGGAATTAATCGAAGAACGTGGCGCGTTATAAACTCGCGTTTTCAGCAGCGGCGTGCAAAGAGGACAAAGAGGAGGTAGCGGGAGAAGGAGGAGGAGGAGGAGGAGGAGGAGGAGGAGGAGAAGGAGGAAAGCCGATGAAAATTACCGACGGTAGCCGGCGGAGCGGCGCGTCGACCGATTTCACGTTGCGTCCGCTTTCGTTTTCCTCGATATTCTCATTATTCGCCGATCGTCCTCGAGGATCAGCCGTGCGCGAAATCGACAAATCTCGTTCAACTTGCGAGAGTCTCTTTGCGCGCATTTTCCCCCCCCCCCCTCAAGAACACAAGAGCTAGAAAATCTAGAAGTCTCTCTCGGGAGAACAGCGTCGTTTACTTTTCCCTTTTGTTCCTTTCTTTAAGGGTAACGCGCTTCTTTTTCCGTGTTTCGCGCTTCACGCCGCCATGTGCTATTTCCTCTCCGCGTCGACGCGCACGGAGAGTCTCCCGCACCCCCTCGCACCCGTCCGCGGCATTCGGCAACATTTTTCTAACCGGAATCGGGCTTCGAGCCCGCCGCGTTCTAATCGCGAGCGCGCGCGCGCTGTCGCAAAAATCCGCCGAAATTCGACGTATCGGGCCGCTCGTCGAATCCCCGAACGTCGAAACTCCGAACGCCACGCGGAACAATGCGCGCGGCTGGGATGCATATGCTGAGCAGCGCGCGATGTTGCAACGGGCGCGCTGCATCCGGTTGCGCGCGCGCAACCCCGACTGACGTGCCGAAAAAGAAAATGCGATACGTTTAACTGACGGGAATGCGAGATCACGATGCGTCGATGCGTGCGATGCGTTCGGCCTGGGCTGAATCGGAAGTGACAGTAAGGATCGCAACCGGGACGAATGGAGCTGTTAGACGAGGAGAGAATGAAATCAACGGAGTCGGGTGGAAATCTGACAAGTAAGCCTAGCCGAGTGTCCTATTCCGATTTTGATGAAATTTTGCATGCATCGAAAGAGAGCATCGAAAAATATTAGATACGTATTTTTTTATATTGGCCCATAAAGCGTTTTAAGGGTAGAAATTACCATTAAAATATTAATTTTTTCGCTTTCTTGTCCTGTACATAAATACTCAATGTCAAGAAATGTTTGGGAAAGTAATGTTTCCGGAGGAACACATCAGCTGTTTTTACGTTACCAAATCCGAATTCACCAGGAAATTTGAGACTTTCAAAATGGCGGATTCAGTATGGCGGATCGATATTTGAAGAATATCATATTTTTCGAAAATTCGTGTACATTTATTAATTTCTCGTGAGTCATGTATCTCAAGGTCTTCAGAATTAAAAACTATAATACATAATCAAATTTAGAAAACTATATTTAATAATATATACTTCACGTATATACTCATTAGCCGAATAAGTCCATATATCTTCATTATTTGGGCAAAGCATCCATACCATTTATTTATTACCATCAGCCTAGAGAAGCCACATACAAAATCATACACCAATTCCAAAAATTGATGGAGAAATATTTTCAAATTTTCATCCGCCATAATGAATCAGACATTTTGAGTTTCAAAATCTGCTACATTCTTCTAGATTTGCTTCTTACTCTGAAGACCTTGAGATATATAAATCGCAGAAAATTAATAAATGTATGCCAATTACGACAGAATCATGATATTCTTCAAATATCGATTCGCCATATTGAATCCGCCATTTTGAAAGTCTTATATTTTCTGGTGAATTCGGATTTGGTAACATAAAAATAACTGATGTGTTCCTCTGGAAACATTATTTTCTCAAACATTTCGTGATATTGAGCATCTATATATAGGACAAGGAAGCGAAAAATTGACATTATAGAGGTGGCTTCTACCTTAAAAACGCTTTATGGGCCGATATAAAAAAAATACGTGTCTAATATTTTTCGATGCTCTATACGCATGCAAAATTTCATCAAAATCAGAGTGGAACACTTGGGTAGGTTTATTTGTGAGTAAATCGCGATCTTTCGTGGGCGCATCAATGTTGATATTTTTTTCTCGTCTCTTTTTCTCTTCCCGCTGGAAAGAAATTTTCCGCATTTCGCGACGGATTTCTCAACCGCGATCGAACGGAGACGGATGAAATCGGCATCGTGCGGATGAGCAACGTAAACTTCCGTCCGTCGGAATTGCGATGATTAATAATAATTATGGACGGTTAATCATCGTTTACGAAATATAACGAATGCGAAGAAAAATTATGAGGCGACACGAACGCGCGCGCGCGCGCGTAGACTTAATTTAATGAGCATACATGCAGCTGCGCGAAAGAATACGCAGCGGCATTCGCGCGATTCTGCACAACGAGAGGGAATTAATTCAGAAACGAGAGAGAAAATTAATCTGGAAGAGTAATATACGTAACGGAGGGCGGAAGGGAGGGAACGAAATTAGTATTATTATATTAATTATTACGGAGGGATTCTCCTGATCGAGATTACGCGATCTCGCGGGATCGCGAGATTACCTTCTTCTCAGGCATTAAATGACGTCAGAATCCTTTTTCCCGCCAAGAGCCAAGTCGCGGCTGCAAATTCGCCTTATCTCACGATCATCGCGAATTCTTTTGCGAGAATAATTTATAATCTCGACGATGTACCTCGGAGAAAATAAATTCGTCGAAATAAAACGGAGGTAAAAATTGAAATCGGGCTGAGAGTTGATTATAACGTCCGCGTGATCCTCAGGAGGAGCGAATCGGAGCTTCAAGTTGGAGATCCCGCGATGACGATTTCGACGGAATCCTCGAGGTGACCCTCGCGTCTCGCGCGGGAAGGTGACTCCGTAGCAGGCTCGCCCTTTTTAACAAGGCTCCTTTAACTTTTAAGTGGCTTTCGGCCGCGAAACAATGCGGAAACTTCGCTCTCTCTCTCTCTCTCTCTCTCTCTCTCTCTCTCTCTCTCTCTCTCTCTCTCTCTCGCTTAACGTCTTACTTTTATCCTCCCGGACTCGCGCGGCGGTTTTTCTTCCTTTTCGTCTCGTAATCCCTTTTGTTCAAGCGTCCGTCTCGAAATAAGAGCCGAACGAACGAGTAAACGAACGGACGACGGAATGCAAAACCGTGGCTGAATGAAACGCGCGGCCAGTCCGCTTAAAGCCCGCCGCGAACAATGCGCGCAGCGCAGAGTCCATCTCGCCGAGCGGGGCCGGCAATTATCGCGTCGATATTGTTATTTCGCACGACCGGAGATCAGCACCAAAGGCGTTGTGTTATCCTATCGAATCGCCGTAATCGACACGGAAAGTGCGAGATGTGAATTATTGGCTCGCGGTCTGAAAGTTCAGTTCGATCCTCGAGTCCGATTCGACTTCACTGCACTCAACGGAAACCAATCGCTCATCAGCCGAGTGATCCCCCATCGTCGTCTGCGATCCTTCGCCAGCATTCCGGCAACGAAACATCGTCAACATTGTTGCCGCAATGCGTGTGTGTGAAAGATGTGTTGAAAATCGAGCCGAACTTGGAAGCGTCGATCGCATTATCCCGCGTTGCGCGTTTCCACGGCTCGATCGGAATCGCTTCGTCGTCATAAAAGGCCACGCGCGCGCGTTTTACAGCTTGGCAAGCGTGGTAATGTGTACGTAAGTCTCTGTTTCTCGTGTCGCAGGAAAACGGATGGCAAAAAGGACGAGTGCATAGTGGCGCAGGAGAAAATGCATCCGGCGTGTGCGCAGCGAGTCGACGGCGCCGAAATGCCGACGTGTCACAGCCTGGCCGAGGCCTGCAAAGAGAACAAGGGCTGCAGGTGAGGAGGAAGAACCGCATTCTCGTTCGCGCTCTCGAAAATTTGCATGTCTCTCCATGAATTATCCGCGCTCACGCTCCGCGCGCGCGCGCACCGCGTCTCGTCACGGGACGCGCGAACGCAAGCGCCGCGCTTTTCGAGCGCGCGAAACGGGAGTGTCTGCTGATAAGCGACGCGCGCGAATGAAAGGGACGGCTGATAAAATCGGCGTCATTAGCGTCGTTCGACATCACAACGCAGATTGTGTTTCGCGCCTTCTCACGAAAGCTTTCGAGACAGGATACAAAGGACAGTTATATTCTTCGTCCACAGGCGCGCGTTATCTTCCGCGTCTAACTTTCTCGGATAGGAGCGAGCTTAGACGAAGCACGAGCGTGTTCGCCGCGCACAGACTGCCCTTCTCTGACGCAGCCATCGCAGCCTCCTGCGGAATTCTCAGTCTATGTATATCGGGAACGAAACTCTTCGAGAAGATCGCCGATTATTTCGAGCCGCCCATTTTTCTTTTTCTCCCTCCTCCTTACCTTCCTTCTCTCCTCTTCTTTCCTTTTTTTCTTCTTCTTCTTCTTCTTCTTTTCTTCCTTCTCTTCTCCTTTTTTTTTTTAGTTCGGTGCTGTTGAGAAGATTAAGAGCTCGCCCGGCAAATTTCGAGGAGATTCCGCGTGTCGGTTCTTTCTTAACAAAAGTTTCATTGGATCAGCGAAATAATGCGAAAAACTCACACGAGATAAAACAGTTTGCTCGAGTGCTCGAGCGGATTCCCCGGGCAAAAAACCGATAGCTGTGTATATAGTAGCGTCGCGCGCGTACACGAGGACCGGAAAGGTGAAGGATGCGTCGTCTCGCTCCGCGCGCGCTCTCACGGTCCTGCGAGAGAACGGACGAGAGGACGAACGTCCTCGCCCGGCTAAGGAAATATTGCATTAGCGCGCGGATAAATCTTGTTGGATCGCGATTTAACTTTAAAATTGAAAAAGTTCCGGCGGGACCGCGAGAAAAAAATCAGGGGCACCGTGTTTGCGGTGTTTAATCGGCCGCTCCGGCGGGTTTGCTCAGTGAGATAAGATCGCCTCGCCCTAATTGGACATTACTATTTTACGTGTCGATTCTCCGACCGCAGCCTCGTCGCGTGCCGTGCCGCGCCGCGCCGCGATTTTTGCCCGGCCAGAAAATCGCGGGCGCGGCCGCGGGAGGAAGATTTCGCCGCAGGCTGCGGCGAGTTTATTCATTTTTTACAGCGCGCTGCGCGCGCTTCTTCTCGCGCGATGACGTGTCTTCGTGATTTAACGCTGTTCGCGCTGAATATCTCGCAGGCGGAAAGCCGCGTGCGCGTGGATATTCTAACAGCGCGTAGATCTCCGTGGCGGATTGATTTCGCGTAAACTCCAGGAATATCAAACAGCCGCGGGACGAAAGCCACATAGTGCGATTGACGCCCGCGATCCGGGCTTCGACATTTTGTGGAATAGTCGGAGCGCTCACCGCTTTTAGTCAGATCAGTCAGAGAATGTCGTTCAACCTAAAACCGATTTCCTGGGTCACTTTCGCAATAGTGAGATATTTAAGTTCTCTCGATGCTTGCGAGAGTTGCATCAATGTCGATTAGCGGTAGTTCTAGTTAATTGAATTTGCTCTCTCTCTCTCTCTCTCTCTCTCTCTCTCTCTCTCTCTCTCTCTCTCTCTCTCTCTCTCTCTCTCTCTCTCTCTCTCTCTCTCGACCTCCCCCTTCTCCCTTTCTTTCCTTCTATGCATCTATATTACAGTGAAGATTGTAACTTTGAGGGAAAGAGGGAGATAGATAAAGGGCAAAGGGGAAACGGAGAATCTGATCCAGACGGAATTTAGTTAACTGAAACTGTCGATGCGATTCAGTTTTGGTGAGTCAGCGATGCATTATTGATGGCTGTCTAATTTTCGACCGATCTGTCGCTTGGTAGTGGACGTGACCCGAGACAATGTTGAACCCGACGCGAATCTACCTTAAGAGTCTTAAGTACGAATCTCGTGAATTAAGGAAACGTGAAATTAGTGTCACCTACGAGCTGAAATCTTCTCGAAGATAATTTTCCTCCGTGTCTCTTCCGTAAATGACATTTTATGCCCTCGCATTATATTTTTATTCCGACCTTAATACGATATAAAAAGAAATTGTTGCATTTGCCGTTTAAAATAAATTTATGCACGGGGACAAAGAGTTGAAATTACCTCTATATCAACGATCTCGTGTAAAAATATTCCCTTTTTGTTCAAGAATAATAACATTGATTTGGCACAGTTTTACAATTTTACTCGCATTTATTTAATTAAATTTGATCTTCTAACATCTGACGGTGTAAATTAATATTTTTGCACGTTGGCAAATAACATTAAATGTTTTGCAGTGTTGTTGTGTGTACATGTATGTGTATGTGTATATATATATATTTTTTTTTTCTCTTTTTTCATTGAAATTTGATTTACAATTTGTTGAGCACATTGTTTTAATTGTTATGGCATATCAGAGTATCGATTAACCTGCTGCTATTCGCGCAAGTTACAAAGATTTAAAATTCGATAAAGATATTAATTAAAAATTGTGTGTCGATCAAATATAATCTCTCCACAAGCTATGAACTCTCCTAATTAAATATATGTCAAAATATATCCAATCTATGTGAAACTCTCTCTATCAATGACACACGTAATGTCATAAATGTTTTAATATTGTAATAGAGAATTTTATGCAAAGCGCAAGCGAAGGAGTCGTAATTCCGTAAATGTCCCTTTGGACATGTGAAAAATTTTCATTAAAATAATTAGCAATTTTTCACGCGAACACGAGATTTGTTACACGCGTCTTATGCAATTTTCACGGATTACCGTTCACGTCGCGAGTCGATATACGCGTTATTAAAATTACTCGCAGTTGTTTCACTTAAAAAAAACAAAGAGCGCCGCGCGAGAACATTATCGATCTCAATTTAATGGTAAAATAACAGATGTAACGGCGAAAATATCAGACACAACGTACCTACTATTGCAGGCTAAAATACACCTCGGGCGCTGATAAATACGCGAAAAAAAAACAGTGCGAGTAACGGAGCGGATTAAAATGGGCGAAGAAGAGGCGCGATCGCGCGACGGATCGTGTGCACGCACACTCGCGGATCGATTAAATTAAAATACGCGCCCACGCACGCACGCGCAACCCGATTCGGAGTATTAATTGATTTATCGCTGAGGGCGAACGAATCCGTTTTTAATTTTGCCATTTAGAGGTATCCACGGACGCGCGACAGAGAAACGAGCGACTGCTCCGTGCCATCGATGCACATTTCGCGCCTTGACGCGTCCTCGCGCGCTTCAACGTGTCTTCGCACGAATTTTATTCCATCGCCTTCCTAATCGATTTCAATCGAGTCCTTTTATCTCCCAACGCGAAGCTCCGGATTGCATTAATTAATACGCACATAATCATGTTTCTTTCATGTTAAAATTACACGTCGAATGAAAAAGATTCTCTCATTGCGCGCGATTTTTTCGAGACACCCGGTGTGTACGTACAATCTTGCTACTAGTCGTTTTGTCGACGTGTACTTTGTTAAGAATAACTTTGACATATATCTCGGTGCTTTCAGATTTAAATATTTCGTCGATGTGTTTTTTTAACTGCACAAATGGCGGCGCACATTAAATTGAACCGACAAAAGGAGAGGAAAGAAGAAGGTAGAATCGACCGAGCTAATTCGTTTTTAATAATTAGTAGTCATTAATTGGCGAAATTAAATCTTGGATCGCGATTGATTGGCTCTGCTGCAACGATAATGACTCTCGCTGGATGTAGCGAAATGTCAAACGAATGGCGTGTTCATTAACGTTCATTTCAAACCAGTTATTCGACGGCTACTGACGTGGCGCTTTGTTCTCTAACTTTTATTTGACTTCCGTCTCGCGCAATCGATAGTATGCAGCGGTGCGACTTGATTGGTAAAACACCAGGAAATGAGACTTTTCATTCACGCGAAGACGAGAGGCCGACGGATCTCAAAATGAAGGCTCATCGTTCCCGTGGCGAAAAATGACGCGATTTAGTTTCGCGAGAGCTCCACACACACACACACACACAGAGAGACACAGTGCACTGATAGAAAAATATAGTTGAATTAAATATAATCTCACTATATTTTACAGTTCATTTTGGCGTCAACCATACTTTTATAGTTGGCGGAACCTGCAAAATATAGTAGAATAAACACAAATATATAGTCAATGATTGTCTTAAATAATTGTTTAGTTACTTTTACCACATATATGGTAATTCCTCATTCACAAATATAGTGAGATTTAATATTCATATAGTTACATCTGTCATCATTTAGCAAGTATTCTGGTAATATTGACTATATAAAAGAGTTACTTTACCTACCATTTTATATCTATGTCCATACAATAATTTTAGTTTAACTTACTATAATTCTTAGTAAAAATATTATATATGGTTGGTTATACTATGCCTATATCGTAATTATTACCGATATTACGGTAATACTTACTATAAATATGATATTTCGGACTATAATTTAATTACTATATCATTATAGTTCCAAACATCATATACTTTTATCTCAATGTGCGTGCCTGTTTATTATGCACGATCGAATATCGCTGGATTCGTGTGCACGGCTATGGAATTTTCGCGCCCGACAATTTTCGAGAGAACAAACACAGATCTCCCGCCGAAACGACGCGGGCGAAGCGCGCGCGCGCGCGCGCGGAAAAAAATACACCCGGCCGTATTTCGCGCCGCGACGTCATCATGACGTCATTATTCCGGCACTCGCGCCCGTCATTACACGGATCATTGTTCCAATTAAAAATCGCGCGCGCGCGCGCGCGCCTCGGACGAAACGCTCCTGCGGGAACAAAGCTCGCGTTACAGCGCAGGTAGCGGGCCGTGCGCATTGATTATGGGTACATATCAATTGTCGCGGCGCCGCGGTGCAGCCGATACAGTCCCTTTGGTCATCGCCGGAGTACACCCAGCGATTGCCCATTGTTGCTGCATTAGTCCCCTCGGTCATCCAGTATGTCACGTGGCGAGCGCGCGCCGCCGGGACGCTCGATGATTGTTCCAAGGTATCACTTAGTGATCGGCGATACGCGCCGGACGACGCTTCGCCGACGCTTCTGTCTTTCCCTTCTTTTTTCCAAACCGAGCCATGGCGCGTCCCGAGGTCGCTGCTCGGGCAATTGAGTCGATGTTGCTCTCGCATAGCTCGCTCCCGAAGCGTCGCTCGTGCACTCGCGGCTGACTATTGACGTTCCAGTGGAACGTCGCACGCACACTCGTCGGTCTTACCTCGCCTTATTTCTTCCGGCCAAGTCAAACGAACGGTCGACGGATTGCGAGTCACTGCTCACGAGCTCTGATGATCGCATCGTTCGAATTCACCGTCGTAATATCGCGCAGCGCGGTGTATGTTATTCGATGAAAGCTTCCTCCCTCCGTGAGTTGTCTTCTTGCCGTTCCCGCGAGGTCACGGATTTCAAGTCGGAGCTCGATACTCGCTGAACTCGCCTCGCGAATCCACGACAGTGACTCGCGAATGCTGCTGCAGTTCCGAGCAAAAGAATCGGAGCTTGAAATTATCCCAAATAATCGGATATCATCGCTCAGCGCGAGTGCTGAAGAGCGTCGACGAGGAGAGCTAGCAGCTTTCTTCGCCTCCTGCGCACCGTGACGTAATCGAGGACGAAGAAACTCGCGGGACGACGGGTGGCCTCGCTATTCCCGCGACGCGACCGCCTCGTCGACTATCGCACATTGTTAACATAACGCAGCAAGCGCGACGCAAGGGGCGATTAATATCCCGAGTGTTCTCGACTTTTCCTCAGGCTCAGGCTGGAGTACTATGAGCAGAGCTGCGCGGTCGACAGCGTGACGAAGAAGTGCGCCGGGCCGACCACGGAATGCAGGAAAGCGATGCTGGGCATTCTCGGCACCGAGCTGCGCACCAATTGCGCCTGCAAGGGCACCGAGATCAATCAGCTGTACGAGTGTCTCGGTTGGCAGCGGCTCCTCTGGGTGAATCCCTGCGTGGGTAAGCGAGAAACCCCCGGCTTTGGAATCACCGCTCGCGCGAGCCTCTGAAAATTCCCTCCTACTTCCCCCTCCCCCCGCGATCGGGATTAACAACCCCTCGCACTTAATTGGCGAACTCGTAGACCGTACATATGTGTCTGTTTAACCCTTTCGCTGCTGTGGCCGCGTACGCGTCCCGGGGAGAAATGCATTGCCACCATTTGTCCCGCCAGGAAAATATTAACGGGGCAAAGTCGAGTTGCATAGTCGCCCTCTTTCGGGACTTTGTAGTTTTTTTCTTTCTTTCCGATGTTATGCTCTTGTACCTTCTCTCATTTGCTTTGTACACATAACGGACTATTAAGACCTGACGGATTCTTAAGCGTTAAGAAAGCGTTCGATGACGAAAAAGTTGAGTGAACGGAACAAAATCGTTGTAAATCGACTCGCGCATATTTTGCACAATTTCATCTTTCGTGTACGTTTGGCTAAACAATATCCCTTTCTCTCTCTCTCTCTCTCTCTCTCTCTCTCTCTCTCTCTCTCTCTCTCTCTCTCTCTCTCTCTCTCTCTCTCTCTCTCTCTCTCTCTGTCTTTCTCTCTCCCTCTTTTATTCCCTCAGTCTAATTCTCAGAGTTTGCGAAAGCTCGACGAATCCCTATGACGAAAACTTCAACTAGAGCTAAATCCGCCGAGAAAGTTGTTTAATATCGAATATTAAAAAGACGTATTTAAGTTTAAGAGAGAAAACTTAAGAGAGAGAGAAAGAAGAGACATAATTAAGTAACAAAACTTTATGCGTAGCTAATATCTCCCGAGGTTCGCTTTTAAAATGAATTTAATTCACCGAAATATTTAACATTGACAGCTCGAAGAGTTACGATGAAGTTCGCGCAAGAACGCCGACGAATTTACCGCCGTTAATTTCCACCCCGCCGGATAGCTCTCTCTCTCTCTCTCTCTCTCTCTCTCTCTCTCTCTCTCTCTCTCGCTCCGCGTATACGTATGAACGTCGCGGCGCATAAGTAGCGTGTTAATAAACAGAAGCGCACGAAGCATTACCACCGATGCATCGCTCGGCGTGATGCACTCTTGGAACGCAGTGGGAAATGCAATTTCTTCGTATCTAAATGACTTATCTACCGGCTGAAACGCCCGCACTCGCCGTGCTTTACAGCTCGACGGGGTCGAGAGGGATCGATAAGGGCCATCCTGTGTCGTTTGTTCGACCGGTGTAATTGCGATTCTGTGTACGTGCGGCATCGCGATGCACCTTCGTGGTTCGTCACCGGTCGTTATAGATCACCGCCTTCGCCGTTTTCCCGCGGCGACGCACGCGGTGTTTTTATTCGACTTATTTGAAATACGAGATGTCGCACGCGTGGATGACTCTCTCTCTCTCTCTCTCTCTCTCTCTCTCTCTCTCTCTCTCTCTCTCTCTCTCTCTCTCTCTCTCTCTCTCTCTCTCTCTCTTTTCATCGGAGTATATTTATTGCAGGCACGCGTTAAAGACGCGGGCAGAAACGACGTCGTCTTCACACTTTATTTCCATCGGGATGATAACATATTGCTCTTTTCGCGAAGAAAACACGTTGTATCGTCCGTTGTATTCCGATGATTTCGGACGTTGAAGATGCACAATCGATTTCGAAATAATTTCCGTACGCATTTTTCACGCGATACAGGAAGGACAGAAACATTAGCTGATGATCGTAATGATAACGATAAATAATAGAGTGGCCGCGATCCCATTCGGAGCGCTGTGAATTATCGAGAGATAAGTTTATTTGGCAATAATATTAAAATGAGCTTTCGATGTATACTTTCATTTATACGAGCTTTCATTTATACGATTTAATTGTAATCGCCGCAATTCCGCCGTTTTGTATTGTTGACGCATAATAAACTGCGTTTATTCCGTAAACACGAGGATGGTAATTTTAATAAATTAGGGACCGCGCGAGCAGGAAGCTAAATGGAGTAGAGAATTATAATATGATATGGAAAATTTCCCGGCGATTAGCCTGCCTTTTGTGAATCGAGCATCGGTCGTTCTAAGGGCACAATGCAAAGGCGTCTCGCCGGCAATTTATTTAGTTTAGCTTGACGCGAATATTACAGCGGCGCGCCATGAACTTTCAGTTTAATTACACACGCGCTCCCGCCGCAACGAGACGTAATCCTTCCGTGTCGCGCGGATTTTTCACTAATTCAAACTTATCGTTTTATCCCGAGAACGTTGCGCCACGTAGAGTAACGCGTTTACGCTCCGCGACAATTCCGACGCGCGACGTAACGAGTAATCGCGATAACATGTACCGGACACGGACGGATGCGGGATGTTTGAAGACTCGCGAAGATACCGCAACGTCCTCGCGAATTATTATCGTCGATTTTTCGCGGCGTGATCCGCTTCCTAACGGCGGAGGGAGAAGAAGAAGAGGAGAGAGAGAGAGAGAGAGAGAGAGAGAGAGAGAGAGAGAGAGATGAAAATCCGGATTAGATCGTCCAACGCAACGCGAAATTTGCAATTTCTTCGCGCGGACTTTATATCGCAAATGCTGACAAGCATAATCTATCTCGCGGAAATAAAAGTGTTGCAGCTCGTCGTTGCAGCTCGTAAAATATTATCACGCGCATCTTGCGTTCCCCATTATTGCTGTACGCGTCCCGCAAAAGGACGAGGCGCTCCGTGCCCCTTGAAAGTGTAATCACCCGGGAGTCCCCGTCCGGTAGCTGAAATATTTCGCGGCAGCTGCAGCGCCGGCGATACGGGACCGGGCGACTTTCCCGATACTTTCATACTTTCGCGTCGGATGGCTACACGTGTACATTCAACTGCAATTTTACAGGCTCTCCGTTCGGCACTTTATATTGCTTAGCGGTTGTTATTTGCGGCCGCACGTCCGTTCTCGGTCGCGCGAGGGACTGTATATATACATGTGAGAGGGAGAGAGATAGAGTATTAAATTGAAGTTAGCTCCGAGGCGACGATGCCGATTCGAGTTTTTCGTGCTTATTATTGTGCCATGAAACATTGTAAGTTATGGCGGAGAGTGAGAAGAAGGACTTCTCGATCCCGGTCCGGTTGATCACACAAGGTGAGAAGTCGTAAGTAACTCTGTACGAAAGTAACATCGCGGAACAATGACTATCGCGATGCAAAATGGGAAAGAGTGCGTTTCGAGGCTGGAGGATTTTGTCCAATCGACAGCTTAGAGATAATCGCACCCTTAGGAAAACGGCGTCGCGTCAGACGACGAAGCATGCCCTCGCAATTTATCTCCCCTTCCTTTTTTCTTCTTTCATACCGGATTCTGAATGGAGCGTCCGAGAAACAGGAGAGGGTGAAGGACGCTACGGTCGCTTCCGTCGATTTAAGTACCGCACATGCGTGTGAGAAAGACGCGCGACTTTCCGCCAACTTCTCCTCGAACTTCTCGTTGAGGTTGTCGCGAGTGCCCGATCATTTCCACTTCTCGCGATATGTTTCGAGGGTGATTCGTCGATGATTACAGTGGAATCGCAGAAGGACTATCACGCGCGCCGAAAACACCATCATCCGCGCACGACGACGACGACGACGGCGACGGCCACGGCCGTCGCGTCGACGACGAGGTCACCGGCGAGCACGACGGCGACCACCGCGGTCGAACAAGTGGAAGATAATCAAATACCGGAAGTGACGAGGTGGCCGACCACCGAACCCACGGAAACTTGGGAAATCACGACCACTACTATAAGCACCACTCCGAGCACCACCACGACCACCACGATGCCGCCGCGTGAGTCCGAACATGCTTAATGATTATTAATTCCTCGCTTGATGATCGCGTTAATCCTTGCGTCGTTCTCCTTGCACCGCTCAGCCTGTAGAGGACGTTTCAGCTCCGCGCACGCTGAAACTTTGTCCGCTGACCTCGCTGAAGCGAGCAGATGGATTTGTCAGACACAACGGGAGACGAGGTGTTGTCCAATTCTGAAGAATTAAGGGAGGAATTACATATGAAAGGCCGTTATCAAGGCTATTTTTACGAATTTTTTTAACAGAAACGGTAAGATCAATGGATTTGAAATTTTCATAGTGTATTCATTAATGCTCAAAGTATAAAATAAATTTCATTGAATCACAAGAATCGATCTATCTAATTTGTAATTATAGATAAAAATACAGTCATGCGTTTGCGAGCTCTATGTTTGCTGTTGACACATAATTCCGGGCCTCTCACTATTCTGGAACCAAAAAATGGAAAAAATTTTTGAAATATACAGTTACCATTATAGCCTGTTTCCAAATGAAGGCAGTGAAGCCAAGTTTGGAAAAATAATGACTATACAAAAAAAAATATCGGAAATGAAACTTTTTTCAACTTGTAATCATGTTTTAAAAAAATGAATAAAATAAAATATAACTGTGTTCGAGGTAAGGGTGCGAAAACTACATGCCTACTGTATACTGTGTAAAAATTTCAAATTATTCGGTTCGATAATTTTTGCGTAATCGTGCCGACAGTTTAAGAAAATGGTGTTTCCAGATAAACGTGTTTAAAGTTTTATGTGTACTTTCCATATACAGATAGTAACAAATGCATTTTATACTCTGAACATTAATGAATACACGTGAAAATTTCAGATCCATTGATCCTACCGTTTCTGTTTTAAAAAATCGTAAACATAGACAACGAATAAATCGGAAGATATTGATTCGGTAATTTTTCAGACACCTAACGAGGACATTCCGTTTACTCTTGAATACCCGGACTTACTGTCGGAATTTTATAGAAAAATGAGAAGTCCTCTGCACCGACATAACGGATGATTTACATCCCGGAATAATAATCTTCATTTTTCGCGAGCATTTTTTTACATCAATATATAATTGTCTCGTCAGAGAATTTAACATGAAATTTAACATGAAAATGCTTCACACACAGAAACGCTTTCGTGACTATCGCTCTCGGCCGGCTTGACTGGTTCCACGCGGCAAGCGCCTGCCGTGCCGAAAAGGTCAAATTTCAGAATTCTACACGCGATAGAGGCTCATTCTTTGTGGATTCGTCCAATTATAATGGCGAGTTCAACAAAGTGTCTTTTGTACGGTATACCGTACAAGCGGTTACGTGTTTAAATGTCCTGTTGACATTTACGCAGTGTCCCATTACCTGCTGTTACGAGTTTCGAGGTGTCCCCCTCGTGCTAAAGCCCACTTACACTTGTCTTCGCGCAGCTCAATCCACTCAAAGTATTTACAACGTCTCCCTCCCGCGGCTGCGAGTTTTCCACGCGTGCCGGCAGCTCGTGAGAAGGAGAATTTTTAATCTCTTTCGTCTGCGGCATCGAGAGGCAAATTAGGTAGATCGCCTCCGGGCTTGCGATACGGTGGAAAAGGGGCTTGATAAAGGGCCGGAGAAACAATCTGGCGGGAAAGGCAGCCTCTCACGTCACTCTGTTTGCAGGCTTCTGCGCGGTTAAGAGAGGTGCGTTTCGAGGCTGGAGGATTTTGTCCAATCGACAGCTTAGAGATAATCGCACCCTTAGGAAAACGGCGTCGCGTCAGAGCGAAGCATGCCCTCCAAATTTATCTCCCCTTTTTCTTTCTTTCATACCGGATTCTGAATGGAGCGTCCGAGAAACAGGAGAGGGTGAAGGACGCTACGGTCGCTTCCGTCGATTTAAGTACCGCACATGCGTGTGAGAAAGACGCGCGACTTTCCGCCAACTTCTCGAACTTCTCGTTGAGGTTGTCGCGAGTGCCGATCATTCCACTTCTCGCGAATTGTTTCGAGGGTGATTCGTCGATGATACAGTGGAATCGCAGAAGGACTATCACGCGCGCCGAAAACACCATCATCCGCGCACGACGACGACGACGACGGCGACGGCCACGGCCGTCGCGTCGACGACGAGGTCACCGGCGAGCACGACGGCGACCACCGCGGTCGAACAAGTGGAAGATAATCAAATACGGAAGTGACGAGGTGGCCGACCACCGAACCACGGAAACTTGGGAAATCACGACCACTACTTAAGCACCACTCCGAGCACCACCACGACCACCACGATGCCGCCGCGTGAGTCCGAACATGCTTAATGATTATTAATTCCTCGCTTGATGATCGCGTTAATCCTTGCGTCGTTCTCCTTGCACGCTCAGCCTGTAGAGGACTTTCAGCTCCGCGCACGCTGAAACTTTGTCCGCTGACCTCGCTGAAGCGAGCAGATGGATTTGTCAGACACAACGGGAGACGAGGTGTTGTCAATTCTGAAGAATTAAGGGAGGAATTAATATGAAAGGCCGTTATCAAGGCTATTTTTACGAATTTTTTTAACAGAAACGGTAAGATCAATGGATTTGAAATTTTCATAGTGTATTCATTAATGCTCAAAGTATAAAATAAATTTCATTGAATCACAAGAATCGATCTATCTAATTTGTAATTATAGTAAAAATACAGTCATGCGTTTGCGAGCTCTATGTTTGCTGTTGACACATAATTCCGGGCCTCTCACTATTCTGGAACCAAAAAATGGAAAAAATTTTTGAATATACAGTTACCATTATAGCCTGTTTCCAAATGAAGGCAGTGAAGCCAAGTTTGGAAAAATAATGACTATACAAAAAAAATATCGGAATGAAACTTTTTTCAACTTGTAATCATGTTTAAAAAAATGAATAAAATAAAATATAACTGTGTTCGAGGTAAGGGTGCGAAAACTACATGCCTACTGTATACTGTGTAAAAATTTCAAATTATTCGGTTCGATAATTTTTGCGTAATCGTGCCGACAGTTTAAGAAAATGGTGTTTCCAAGATAAACGTGTTTAAAGTTTTATGTGTACTTTCCATATACAGATAGTAAACAAATGCATTTTATACTCTGAAACTTAATGAATACACGTGAAAATTTCAGATCCATTGATCCTACCGTTTCTGTTTTAAAAAATCGTAAACATAGACAACGAATAAATCGGAAGATATTGATTCGGTAATTTTCAGACACCTAACGAGGGACATTCCGTTTACTCTTGAATACCCGGACTTACTGTCGGAATTTTATAGAAAAATGAGAAGTCCTCTGCACCGACATAACGGATGATTTACATCCCGGAATAATAATTTCATTTTTCGCGAGCATTTTTTTACATCAATATATAATTGTCTCGTCAGAATTTAACATGAAATTTAACATGAAAATGCTCACACACAGAAACGCTTTCGTGACTATCGCTCTCGGCCGGCTTGACTGGTTCACGCGGCAAGCGCCTGCCGTGCCGAAAAGGTCAAATTTCAGAATTCTACACGCGATAGAGGCTCATTCTTTGTGGATTCGTCCAATTATAATGGCGAGTTCAACAAAGTGTCTTTTGTACGGATACCGTACAAGCGGTTACGTGTTTAAATGTCCTGTTGACATTTACGCAGTGTCCCATTACCTGCTGTTACGAGTTTCGAGGTGTCCCCCTCGTGCTAAAGCCCACTTACACTTGTCTTCGCGCAGCTCAATCCACTCAAAGTATTTACAACGCCTCCCTCCCGCGGCTGCGAGTTTTCCACGCGTGCCGGCAGCTCGTGAGA